CCAATGGGGAAAGACATGTAAGACGTGTAAGATTAGATTCAGAGTATCTATTACTGTGGAGGTAAGACCACTACTTAATAAAGTGAATGCTGGAACAGTGCTAGCATCAGCCACTCCTGTAGAATCCCTCTGTCTAGGCTTCTGGCTTGAATAATACCAAAGGTGATGCTAACATTTCCTCAGAGAGAGAACGGGGGAGAGGGAGGAAGAAATAAGGAGGAAGAAAGGGAGAAAGAGGTGGAAAAATAAAGTGAAAACAGAAATTTAGAAGGGAAAGTATTGGTTTAAATCTGGATATGCTAAATTTAAGGTTATCATGGCCATGGGTGCTTGGATATGCAAGTCAGGAGCTCAAGAGAGAGACTGATACTTGAAATGTAAAAAGCATAAATATTTGAGAAGATGTAATTAAATATACTAAGCAGCTAGAAAAGCAAGCAAGGCCTGAGCCAAAACTCCTAGAAAGAGTACCATGGAAAAGGGATGCTTAGCAAGATACTAGAGAAGAAGGTAGTCAGAGAGATTTTTAGAAGACCAAAGAGAACTACCAGCAGGATCAAGGGCTTCAAGGAGGTCAGGTAAGGGAAAGAGAAATTTACAACTCACACATCCCCTGGGACCAGGGCAAGCAAGCTTTCAGGGAACAATGGAAGGTGGACTGAGTCGGGTGAGCAGAGGGTAGCTAATAAGGGAGAATAAAGCAGTCACATGCTCTTCAAGGGCACACTGTTCCTCGTCAGCACACACTCTCCTTAAAACAGGAAAATATAAAAAGCGGATGCTGCCATCATGCATCAAGGAACTGAAAAAAGAGATAAGAAACCACCCACATATACAGAGCACAAATCTACACTAGTCTGGCCCAAGTTAAAGCTCCCAGAAATAAATATGCTGTTAATATTCATATATACTCTCCACTGCCCACATAACACAAGACTGAAAACGTGTGCATTTAGCTGCAGACACACTCACGATGAACTTAAAATGCAGTCTCCCTAAAATCATTCTCCACCACAAAATATTAAGTAGGAGAAGGAGCAATATGTTGTATCACAGTTAGCTCAGCTATGTAAGTTCAGTTTGGATCTATGGACTTTTACCACAAATCTGACAATACCACAAACATAATTAAATTACCTATGATTCTTTTAGCTGTACTGAATGAGGCCTTTTCCTAAAGAGACCTCATAAACTTGGGGATCTAAATTTAAATTTATTGAAATTTCTACTATTCAGAAAAAA